AGCAGACACCCATTGAGCATCTGCTATCTGTCAGGTACTGGGGAACAAAGGCAAACTATGTACCTGAGGAGCACAAGGCTACAAAATGAGATGAACAAGAGAGGCTGTTTTAATATAAAGCTGTGAGTACAATGTTCCCATGTTTGGGGGTGGAAGGGGGAGACAGTAGTAGAACACAGAACACAGAAATTAACCCAATTTGCAGAGGTGGGGGCTGTCAGGAGCGTCCCTGGAGAAGATGACATCTGAGTGGAAGCTAGAAGGCTGAGCAGGAGTTGGGGAAGAGATAAGAGTGACAGGATTCTAGGCGGAAAGAACAGCATTTGCAAAGGCATAGTCATGAGGAGTGTGACATGCGGTTTGCATAGTGCAGTCTCAACAGAAAGATGAGCAATGGGACAGATGGAAAATGCCCAGCACTGTAATGACACAATCAGATACCGCTTTAGAAAGACAAGAAAGAGCTTGTCAGGAGTTGGGGAGATCAGCAAGGACATCTCTGAGCAAAAAGAGAGATATTTCTGTAAGTTCAGCATTAGGAACTTCAATACAATTCAAGTGCTAAGGAGGCAGAGTGGAGTGACCTGTCGACAGCCTGGATACAAGTGATAAAAGAGAGAAGAGTAGTGGAGGATATGTACATTCTTACTATCAACAAGGAGAAATTAAGGTAGAAGGAAAGTTACAGGTTTGGAGGAGTGGATGTCAAAGATAATTTTTTTTTTCTTTTGGTCATGTGAAGTTTTCATTGTACATGGGATGTCCATGTTGAAATGTCAGTTTAGAAACTCATATGAACAAGCCAAGTTAAAGATGATTTTCAGAGTCAACAGCATTATGAAGTTGTGACAGAACGAGAAGATTCCAGGAGACTGGTGAGAGAGAAAAGCGGTGGGTAGAGACGAGACCCTTGGACAAAACTAACATCTAACAGGAAGCAGAAGGGGTCTAAGGACAAAGCTCTCCAGTGCAGTACAGAAAGCTCCAGAGTTGAGGTATGATGTGCCCACTCCATTTAACAGAAGGGCCTATGTAAGTGCACTGGTTAGAATTTGTGGTGGCAGTGAACTGAATCCACTCATTAGCTTAAGCAGAAAGACTTTTTACTGAGTATTGGAGGATCATCTTTCAAGGGCACAGACACAGCCAGAAAGCACAAAGTATCCAAGACAAATACTCGCCCTTCACCGTGGGACTCTTAAGGGAACCCTGTGCCACCACTTCATTCTGTCCAACACTGTAGCTGGGTATTACAACCTCTACCAGAGTTGCCCCAGGTGAAGAAACACCTCAGCCACGGTGCCTATAAAAGCCACTCGTTCTAAGAGCAGCCTAAGTCTAGGATAGTCTTGCTTCACACCACCTAACTAGAAGGCTAGCTTTCAGACTTCCGGGAGTCAACCATGCCATCACTGAGATCAAAGTGAGACTTCTGTGCAGAAGAATCAATGAATGAAGGTGGAGTCCAAAAGAAAAAGTAAGAACAATCTTTATTCCTTGGAAACACATTTATAAAAATGTTACCAGTAAGATGAAGAGACACAGAACACATTTATTTGGACGCAGCACATAATGGGAATCAAAACATCTGCTAAAATGGAACACACCCGTAAACAAACATCTCAAGGGGAGTTTATAGGCAGGTGGTCAACTCCCTGTGCAAGCACATGAAGGACTCCCTCCTCCTGAAGACTTTCATGGAACCAAAAGAGGTCAGATTCTTATCAAGAAAAGATGTTAACACATGTCCAAAAGCTTCAAAAGGGCCAAATTATAATTACACATATAAAGGTGGTACAATAATTAACTGATTGCACAAAAACACAAACAAAAAAGTATCTCAGGCCTATTTTTTTCTCCGTTGAGAGAGAGAGAGAAAAAAAAAAAAAGGTTTGATGTACTACCTGAATTGGGGAAAATAAATATTTTGGTCCAAGTTTCATCCTAAACAACAACATGCTGCTTTGGGTTCTACAAAAAGAAGGGGGCCGTGCCCATCCTTCCTGTGTGACAGGGTGCTTTGTACGACCCCCATGAGCCCAACAGGCTCTTATTTGTGCCTAAGTGTGTCTTGACTGCATGTTGCTTTTCAAAGGAGTGAAGTCTAGAGTGAAATCCAACCTCGATTCCAACAGCGTATATTCACAACATCTTCTGAAATCATACAAGGTAGCAGCACCAGTCGTTAAGGTATTACAAATTATTCTTAGATTTGAGCAGCAAATTCTACCAAACATGCTATGCAATCGAAGATTAGCAACAAGGCCGGTATCCAACTGGCTAAGCCGCTGAAGGAGGCAGAATTCCAAGTCTCCCTGGGGTTATGTAACATCTGATTAGTTTAATAAACTTTATTGAGCTTCTGTTACAGAAGGGGGTCTGACAGTTATCCTTATGTGGAGTTAGTCTGAATGCATGTCCTCAGCCTAAAGAAGAAATGAAATTTTAATAAATCACAGAATCTTAGAAAGGACCTTGAAAATCAATTAGCCCAGGCAATTATTTTCAGGTGGGAAAATGAGACCAATGGAGGGGAATGATCCATTTAAGGTCACGCAGTGGTGAAGGCTGGACCCTGCACCCTGGACATCTCCACCCTACAATGTCATCATATGCTATTTTCCCAAGATCTCTTTTATTTGGTGCCATTAGTTAAATCACAAAGACTATCAGGTGCATAGCGAGATGATAAAGACTTTTACTCCAGTTTTAAGATCAGAATATCAAAATGATTCCTGAGCCTTTAACTACCTTCATTTTATTGAGAATGCAGTCAACAGTAAATCATGACTTTCTATGGTGGTTATCTTCAAATGTTTACATGGACACTAACAGCACCCCTTAGAACTACTCCTTAAAGACACTTGTACAAACATCCACGTGATGCCAGGATGGGTCTCATGGAATGCAACGACACCACTTTGGTGAATGGAAGTAAGATGCTTCAGTCTCTCAAAGTGCGGTCATGAGCTTGTCCCGATACGTGACACTGTGCGTCCCTCCTAAGTTCCTCTGGTTCTGGTCGTGGACATAGTCAAAGTGGCTGTCATCTCCACTGGCTGAGGCTTTCCAGTGTGGCCTCTCATCCTGAAAAGCTGGCCTGTTTTGTTTGCAGAGGGAATGGTTAGTGGGAGAATGGAAGACAATTCAGAAATGAGTGAGGTCAAGCACATAAAATGGAAACAGTGGGGGAGACAGTGAGTGGGGGCGGACACATAGAAATGAACAGACTGATGACTTCAGAATTTTTTTAAACTTTCATGTGACCAGCTACCAACTTTGGAGCTGAGGAAAGCTCTGTCTCTGCCAAGTTATGGCTTCTCAAGGGGTGTTTGTTTGGCAGTCGTGTCAGTCAGGGGAAAGCCAGGTGAAGGGGAAGGTTCCCTAAATACTTGATGCACATGGTGTCAGCTTCGGGTAACATCTGCCACAAGTGATGAACCAATACACAGAATGCAGGGTGCCACCTGGAGTTTGGCCACAGGAGGTCTAGTGTGAGGATGAGAAGTGGTTCCCAGGGGATGCTAGGGCTGCAGGGCAGCAGGGTCACCTGAGAAGGGTACTGTTGCCTCTGGGTAAAAAGCTGGGCTAGGCCAGGCCTCAGACAAAATAGGCAAAGTGAGGTATGAAATCGTGTGTCTGGAAAATAAACCACCTTTGAAATATGCAAAGATTTAGAATTATTACTCCTCTGATCTAATTTGCTTTAAAATGCTACATGAATACCAAAGTGTTAATAATGGTAAAATGGCACTGCTGTGTTACACAATTCCCCAGCCAACTTTTATTGAACTTACTCAAGGCGCATTTATTTCTACCACTTGATTCCCTGGGATCAAGGCTCAGAGCCTGGCCTTGATGCAGACTGAATTCACAAAGTATGCTTCTGAAATAGCTTGACACATACATGCCAACAGGATTGATAAAAAAAAAAAAAATGCAAATTTTAGAAATGTCTGCTTTCCCCCATTAACCTGACTCCAGACAGCAGGGCAGGTGTGCAGTCACTTGGGGAGGAGAGTGGCAGGTAACAGTCACTGACAGTCCTCAGGCCAAATCCTACTTTTTGTTTTTGGTCTTTTTGAGGCAGGGTCTCCCCGTAGCCCCAGCTGGCCTGAAACTCACTATGTAGACCAAGCTGGGCTTGAATTCACAGAGATTCACCTGCCTCTGTCTCCTGAGTGCTGGGATGAAAGGTGTGTGCCACCACGCCTGGCCAAATCCTACTTAAAAAAATATTTTATTATTTTTATTTTATTTGTATGAGTATATTGCCTACATGCATGTAAGTGTATCTGTGTCATGCAATGCCCATAGAGGTCAGAAGAGGGCATCAGAGCCCCTGGAACTGGAGTTTACAGATGATTGTTAGCTGCCATGTGGGTGCTAGGAATTGAACTTGTGTCCTTTGCAAATGCAGCTGGTATTCTTAACCACTGAGCCATGGCTCCAGCCACCAAATCCTACTTTTTTGCAAATTAGGTTTTACTGGATCACAATCAAGCCCACCACTACCTCCAAGCGATAGTTGAGACAATGAAAATGTGATTCTCCTTTGCTGAAAATAGTTACTAATCTTCCAAGTAGGGGAAAAAGGCCCATTACCACCAAAGGAAATGCCCTCATTCCTGGAAAAAAAAATCCTTGGGAAAAAAAAAGAAGGAAAAAAAAATCCATACAATGGCAATCTCCAAGCTTTAATCACATTCGAAGAAAAGAAATTCTCAGAACAAGAAAATGTTTCTTAGAAATCTTAAGCAACATCTCTGATACAAACCCCAAATATGTGAGGTTAGAATGATGTAAAAACACAAAACTAATTCACTGTTATTTCACAAAGACTGGCTTTGTGAAGTAGGCTTCTCCTGCTTTGGAAATCATCCACCTCTGCCATGGTCATGCCATCCCCTTAGGGGGGTTGTTCCTTCAGCTTCGAGTGGGGGCTTTTGGTAAAACAGGCGAACTTCCCAAAGCATGACTTTATGAGCTCCAGCACTTACCTGACATTTGGAGAGTGAGGACGCCACCGGGGCTGACTGGGATGGATGTTAGGATGGTACTGAGGCTGGAAAGGAAACACCAAACTTGATTACTTGGTGACCTTTGGATTTCAATGGTCTTCACCTGCTTTCTCCTGCAGTGGCACCCACCTCAGGAGCCCAGGGGGCTCTAAACAGGAAAGCTGTAAACAAGCCTGACTGGGGTGGCTAGAACTTTCCCAGGACGATTGTGTTTCTCTCACTAACAAAAAATGGGGCAAGAAGGGGGGGGGCTGGAACCTTGTGCCCGGCTTGCCAAACGCCACCTCCAGAGATGGCCAGGAGAGAAGAGGCTACGAGACAAGGCATCACATTTGCCTGGAAGGAGGTAACCCAGCAAGTCTGGGACAGACAACATTCATCTCTCTCAAGAAAGCAGATGCCAGAAAGATGGGGTGAGCAGTTTCTCTCTCCAGAAGCTACTTTTGTTATTTTTGAAATGACAACAGCCAAGCATAGCAGTTACATCTGCACACAGGCAAGGGTTGGATGGGGATGGCTAAAGAAAGCAAGAACAATGGGCATATAAACAGTAAAAAGAATATTCTAAAATGCTATCCCAAACAAAACACCATCCAGAGTCCTGATTATCCTGATGAGACTGGAGAGACACAGAGGGGAACTGAACGGATGGATGGGGGTTGCGGGGGTGGGGGGTGTAGGTGGGTGGGTGTCAGGTCACTGTAAAATAACAGACCAGGATGAAGTCTAGATGGGCCTGGCAGGGTAGCCGGCTGTCATTCCACTTCTGGCCTGCAGAGGGCAGAAGTCCTAGACACTGCCAGAAGCCAGGGGCTTCTCTAGGCTAAACTTGCTATGGGGCAAATTAGGCCCTCCCTGATTTGAAAGTCACTAACAATCTCACCACCATTAATCTCTTAATTATTTTTCCCCTCCTCCTCTTTCCCCTGCTGCTGTAGTTAATAAGCAGTGGCCTGCTTTCCGTTACAGAAATTCTGGGCAATTCTCTTCATGGAATTTTCATGGCCCTGAGATGCCCTCACGCCGCCTATTCAGCATTTCACTAGATTCTCTTTTCTCCTTCAAAGCGCCTGTCAGCAAGCTGAGCACCCCCAACCTCCAGAACATGCTATAGGGAGAAGGAACTAGAAGAGTTATTTCTGCAAGAAGATCTGAGCACTGACCTGGAGTACCAGAAAGCTGCTGGGTTCAGGTGATTTGCCCAAAGTCAGTCAATTCTGGGCTCCATGACAAAAGAGAACGACTAACCTACAACTTAACGCTCTAAGTTTCTTCTGTCTTTAAACACACCTATATCAGATTCATCAGAGAGAGGTGGGTACCTCATCCACAGACCTGAAGAAAAGATTTTAGAATTTTCCTTGGTATGTCTGATAATCCATTCACATTCTAAACTTTCAAGGGGTATTTTATTTATTTTTTAAAAATATTTTATTATTTTTATATATGTGTGTGTGTCACCTGCATGTCGGTAAGTGCACCCGTGTCATCCAATGCCCGTGGAGGACAGAAGAGGCTGTCGGATCTCCTGGAACTGGAGTTACATACAGTTGCCAGCTGCCATGTGGGTGCTGGGATTCGAACCTGGATCTTCCACAAGAACAGTGTTCTTAACCGCTGAGCCATCTCTCCAGCCCCATCAAGGGGTATTTTAATGCTAATCCAGGTGGGTCTCAGTTGGGGCAGGTATGTCATGTTGCACTAGGGACAAGAGGGAATACACGTGGACTTTTGCTTATTACGACGACAGTGAAAAGGGAAGTTAAGCATTACTGGAATTCCAGGGACAGTCCCAAACAGTGAAGAGCCATCCCACCTCAACTGTCAGTTGTCATGGAGAACACAGCCATCCATCTGCAGCTGGCTGACCTTGCTGTACTAACAAAGAGATAATGCAGCCACATCAGCCTCCAGACAACCTTCCACAGCATCCTGATGCCATTAGGCTGCTTCTCAGGACAACTCTCCTCAGTCCTTGTCTAATCAAGCCTTCATAGACCAACACAAGGCCGCTAGGACTAGGCAAGTGCAAGGGGCCTCCAGTTGGCAATGATGTGAGAGTACTGTGCCCAGAATGTCTGCAGATCTGATTTAGATAATCATGGTCCTGGATGTTCACTACAAGCAGAATGAGCTAGAGAGGCAGAGGAGGGCAGAACAGTGCCACGCAGGGCTTCTCTGCTTCCTTCATGCTTTCTCTTTTCTTGGCACCGATCACCTATCAGCAGCTTTTCCCTTTCCCTACAACATTCCAGTTACACCTGAAAATCTCTCAACAAAACAGCCTGTGAAGAAAAAGGCTCAAGAACCCCAGGAAGGCGAGAGAGGGAAAAGGTTCTTCTCCCACGAGGTCCAGAGCCCTTTCTACTCATCTTCTGAAGCTCAAGAGTTGTTTCCACATTCCGTACACTGGGAACATGATTTCAGGTACAGGAGTCACTTATCACCAAGTTCTTTCTCTGATTTCTTTATATTTTATGTGTGTGTTTTGCCTGCATGTATGTAAGTGTACCTGTGTCATACAATGCCCATGAAGTCATGAAGGCTTCAGATCCCCTGAAACTGTAAGTTAAGAATGGTTATTAACTGCCATGTGGGTGTTGGGAACTAAACCCAGGTCCTCTGCAAGAGCAGCCAGTGCTCTTAACCACTAAGCCATCTCTCCAGTCCCAGTAATCACCAAGTTGGGGTTTTTTTGTTTTGTTTTTAATTTTTGGAGACAGGGTCTCACTATGTAGTCCTGGCAGGCCTGAACCTTCCTATGTAGACCAGGTTGGCCTCACACTCACAGATATCTGTTTGCCTCTGTCTCTTGAGGGCTGAGATTAAAGATGTATGCCACTATGAGCCCAGCTAATCACTAAGTTCTTTGGAAACCTCATAAGGATAATGAACAGTAGGATTTTCCCATCCAGGGAAATATCTACAGTGACGAAAGACCAGGAAAGGGAAATAATTCAAATAATGCCTCAAATAGAAATCATTATAGAATAGCTTTGTTGTTCATGACACTCATGGTCAAACAAAGGGTACAAATACCTGGGAGATACATGTTTAGACGCTGCTCCAGTACAAGAATTCCCCTGCTTTAGTTTGGATATCAGCTGTCTGCCAAGGGTTCACATGTTGGAGATTTAGTCCACAACATGATGCTGTGGGAGGGCCTGGTGGGAGTTGATTTGGTCTCTGAGAGAGCTACCCTTTAAAGACGAGCCCCGTTAGTTCCCATGAGAGCATCAACACAGGCCCCTCTCTTGTGCTGGCTCCCCATCTGCCATGATCTCTCCCTCTATACACACTCCTGTTCTTGTGATGACATCTTCCACAAAGCCCTCACCAGAGCTGAGTGGAGGCCAGTGCCATACTCCTGAACCACACAAACCATGAGATGAACGAACTTTTACTTTATATAAAGCATGCAGTGCTGATTATTTTGTTATAGCAACGGAAAAAAAATGACTAATACATGGTTCCAAGTTAGAAGTCATCAGGCATGATGACACTGACTTTAAGGAGAAACAAACCCAGGCAGTAAAGCACAAACCATAACCAACCAAAGTCCTCCACCTACTGCCCATTAGAGCCTTAGGAGTTCTGAAGCTCCACAGATGCCAAGTTCCTACCCCTTGAGTTTCTGTTCAACCTTTCAGGGGTGAGGCTGAAGGACTAGTTGTTTTTGAACACTGGCCAGATGGTTTTAACATGCAGCAGGGCTGAATCCCCCTGGAGCTTCCAACTGAAAAGATCAGGAGAAGGGGGCTTCTGAGTAGGTCTATGGAAGGTACTGTAGCAAACAGGAAAGAGGCAAAGAAACTCCAGGCAGATGAGCATTAGCAAAGTAATAACAGGAAGAACTTCGAGGGCAACCACTCTGCAGACCATGTGAGCTCAACACAGTGTGTGATGAACAGTGGTGGAAATAAATGTGGAGAAGTCAAGGGTAGGTCGTGGAAGGCTGGGAATGGCCACAGAGGGCCGGCCACATCGGCTATGGAGGGGCTGGCTTGCTACACACTGGGCTATCGAGGGCTTTGGCAGTAACAGGTGGGCAGGCAGGAGGCACAGGCCTTGACTGGCTATGCTGTAGAAGGGTACAACACTGGGCATGAAAACCTGTGCTCCTGCATGCAATGGGCCTGACAAAATACCCAAAACCCCAGCCCCATCACTACTGGTGGGTTTACCATGAAAATGGATGGCGGCAAGGTTAATATTTTATGGGCGGAAGGACCAATAGCCCAAATAACTTGGGAAACAATGAATTGAAAAAAAAAATACAGGGGCTGGAGAGATGGCTCAGTGGTTAAGAACACTGGTGGTTCTTGCAGAAGACCTGGGTTCGAATCCCAGCACCCACATGGCAGCTAACAACTGTCCATAACTCCAGTTCCAGGGGATCCGACAGCCTCTTCTGACCTTCAAGGGCATTACACGACACGGGTACACTTACCTACATGCAGGCAATACACGCATACACACAAAATAAAAATTTTAAAAAAACAGACAAAAAACATACAAACATGTCTTTCTTGTAAAAGTCCTCAGTACTGTATCTTCCCAATGGACATGTCAAATCCAAGAAGGCAATTGATGGACACAACATTTCCCAAAAAGTTGACTAAAATATCCTGGAGGTGCTTTCAGGAGACTCGTGTTCCCTAGGCCAATGACATACTTTTACAAAAACATGTACTTGAACATCACTAAAAGGTTGGGCTTGACCACCCAGTACATCACCACCATATGTCCCTGGCACCTGCAGTTAACAAGGTTAAAAACAGGAGATCCAGATGACCAAGAGGAAATAGGGTTAGGAGAGAAGGGTTTGCCTCACAGTTTTCTCTAAAAAACAGAAAATAACAAAAGAAGCAAACTAAATCAAAAAAGAACGACCAAACATGGTTACTATTTCTTCAAAGTCTGATGAAGTACATATTGCTTGTTGTGGAAAATTGAGAAACTTTAAGAAACCCTTTAAAAGCAGCATCTTACCTGGTAATTATGGACTTCAGGATTTGTTTTAGCGCTAAAAAGAAAAGAAAAAGAAAAATGTAACTTTACCAATTGTAAAGAGAATTTGATGGCCCTATTTAACAAGCATAAGCAAATCCTATATAGTACCTACTCCATAGGAATGGTCAGCCACTATCTCTTGTTTGATTACTAAATGCTGACATGAACATATAGGCAAGTAATCAAGAAGACCACAAATACCAACTTCCATTCCTTACTTTAGGGCTTGGTGGTATGAATACGGTAACATGCCAAAGCTGTGTAAGAGAAATGAGATCCTTGCAGTTGAGCAAATCAAGGAATTTCAGTTCCCTTTTTCAGACCCTCCCTGGCATTGCTGGGTAGCCTCCTGGCTCCAGGAAGCCATAGTGCTGGTGCAGAGTCCAGCGGACAGTCAGAAGTTACTTCAAGACACCAACTGCAGGCACCAGGGTGAGGGTCACACATGGGTCCCTGGCACTATTGTTGATCTGGCCACCACTGTGGAATGTTCACTCCATGCAAGCCTCTGTCCTGGGAGCTTTCACATCTGTTATTATTTAATCTACATAACAGGGCTATGAGTTCAGTAAAGTTTCCTACCACTGTAATTCACAGACAAAAAAACAGTTGCCTAACAGAATTAGGAAACCTACTGAGGATTACTAGCCGGTCAGCAGCAAAGCCAGGGTTGATTCAACAACTGCTCAGACCCATTCTATTTTCTTCCCTCTACCCAGCTGGCTCCTGGGGGACCTACCAGAAAGTTCAGAGCTCCTCAAGTATGATCCTATTTTGATGGTATCTTAATTAGAACTAGCCTGCTAAATATGTATGTGGATATGAAATACATGCATATTTATATTGACAGAGCTAGTTTGTGCTAGAGGCGATGTGTTTAAAATGCAAGCTCAGCACCTGTCAGAAACCCCACACCCCAGAACGATCATTGGACAGTCACTGTTGCTAGGATGGTGTGCCTGGAATCAAGGTTTATTGCCTCTCCAACAACAAGAGTGAGTGTATCTTTGTTCTGAGTTTTGTTGGGGTCTAAGTGGCTCTGTGTTTGGTTTTCAGAAAGGGCTGGTAATGGAGTTAGGCTCTGGGCCAGATCGACTAGGCTGGTTCTCAGTTGGTAGGTAAAATGTGCTACAAGGAGCTATTTTTCTGGTAGCACCTCTGCGGCCTCCAGCCCAATTTCATCCACGGTCCCCACAGCAATTCTACGTGCTTGGGATCCCACAGCCTGCAAAGAGCAATTGAATAGTTGTGAACAGCAGTTATTAGCTCATTTGTTCCTAAAGGGTATGTTTACTGGTGCTTTTTTGGTGCATGTGTGTAGATTTTTTTTACATTTGTTTTCATTCCCAATATATAATCTCCCCTAGATGCTAAGAGGAAAATGTCACTTTATTAGGGAAACACAAACAAACAAAACAATCATTTTCTAAGACAGCAAAGAAATATTGTAGTTTACAATTCCCCAGAGAATTAAAAACAAGACCTGATGGTCTAAAAAAGATGTAAATACTTTTTAAGAATACTACCTGCAAAAGACCCAGCTTTCCAGGGGACTAGGCAGGGCATGCCTATATGACCACTCCGCTTGAGAACACTGTAATGCCCACCACGGGTGCAATGGGCAGCTGTTTAAGAGGACCCTCCTGCCCCTTTATTAGGTACAAGAGGCAGAATGCATGACCTAGGCCCAAATGACCCTGTAGGCACAGTCTGGAACCAGAGGCTATGCTGGTTTGCTCTCTGCAACCTGGAGTTCCTTGAAGGGACCTTTGAGCTTAAGGAACTGGAAGCCAATGAATAGGTGGGCCCCAGTCCTTCCTTCTCTACTTGCCTTCTACAGTAGCTCTCTGAGTCTGTTTTGTTGGTGAGCCTGTAAATCAGGCTTGAGGTTGGGAGTGTAGTAAAGGGTACAAAACATAGGCTAGAAAAGTTGGGGAAAACAGAGCTAGCTCAGTCTCCTTTATTTGCAAATAAGAAAAAAGAGGCCCAGGAAGTAGAAGGCCTAAGGCCAGGATGGGTTTGAGAAGGCTGATATGGAAAGGGAGGCCTTGGCTAGGGCTGAGGATACGAGCCAGGGGAGTAGCAGCCCTAACCCTGTGCCCTGTCTTCAAGGCTGAGAGCATATAGCTGTGTCCTTGCCATTTCCTTCTCCCCATTGGCCTTGAGGCCTTGGCCCAGATCAAGAGTCGAGCACCTAGAGTCTGGTTCTCTCACATATCAGCTGTCCCTAGCAAGGCCAAACTTACAAAGGAAGAACAGTGGAAGGACAGGTGCCGGGCAGGACAGTGGCTCTCACCTGGATGGCACACTAGCCTCATCAGGGAAACTTTGAAGAACAATTGTCTGAGTCCTCAGGTGCACACAGGTGATTTGTTTGGCCCAGGGGTGACCTGGCCAAAGGGGCATGTTTCAGAGCTCACCAGATGATACCATGCACAGGCAAGATCGGGAACACCTATGCTAGGAAAGGGGCAGCTAATTCAGCCCGTGGGCCAAATATGTCTGCTTATGATTTGTGAATAAAGTTTTATTAGACCATAGCCATGCTCATTCATTTACATAATGGCCACCGCTACTTCAGTGTTGCAAAAACGGAGCTAAATAGTTCTTAAAGAAATATCACAGTCTAGAGTCCAAAGTACTTCCGATCTGGCCCTTGAGAGATAGCTTGCAGACTCCTATGCTGGAGTTTCTACAGGAAAATAATTTGTGACAAGATTGAAACTCCAGTGGTGGTTTATTTGCTTGCTGGCTTGCTTTCATTATTGGGATGTGTGTGTGCCATGATGCATGTGTGGAGGTCACAGGACAGCTCTGTCAAGTTGGTTCTCTCTTCCACCTTTACATGTCTTCCAGGGATTGAACTTAGGTTTTAAGACTTGCAGAACACACGCCCTTGAGCCACCTCACCAGTCTTTCAGGGTGGTTAATGTCTCCTAATACTTGCATGTCACTGGAAAAGTCCAGCACCTGCTCCTGTGGAGCCTCTGCTCAACAGCACAGCCCTCCATCCCCACCCCTGCCTGCTGTACCATTAGTACCTGTGCTGCATGCCTGTCACCTTACCATTCACTGTGACAACCAAGTGCTATGCTACCCAAACAGAGCAGCTGTTTTGCAACAAAACAATCCTGGAACATTCTGTTGTGTGCTTATTGAAAGCTAGGAGGGTGGTATAGTCAGGCAGTAGAAAAAGGAAAAAAGAATTATCAGGTGAGTCACTCTGATTTAACTGTATTAAGGAAAAAATCAACATTGCAAACAAACACGGTAATTAGACAAGCAGAGTTGTGCTGGGGAGGAGGCTGGGGGCACTTACCAGAGCTGAGCAGCAATCACCGGGTTGCTTGCTATAAAGGAAGAACAATAGTTATGCTATCTTGTAACTTTCACCATGTAACAACACAGAGAGAATGACCTGGTAGAAACCTCTCTATCAGAGAACAGTTCCCACCTCAAGCTAGACAGATGGGAGCTGTGGCTATTTCTTTCCTGAGGGTGTTAAAAGCCCTCTCTCTAAGTCACCCTGCCCCCTACAGGAAATTCCTTAGAGCATGTTCCCAGGGCTTGGTGCACTGGGATGCAGGTGCACTGGGATGTAGACAGGTTGGGATGCAACCACAAGAGTCTATGCACCTGAGGAGCTCATGGTCCTGAGATGGAAACGACAGGCATGCAGAAGGGGGAAAACAGTACACAGTGATAAAGGATGAAATACCAGCATGCATCTGTGCTGAGGTACTTGGCACACTCTGATGAGGCAGAGGTAGAGTCTGCATGGAAGGGGCATGGGTTAGGATGGTATTTATTCCTCCATACCCCATTTAAAAAATTTCCCTTTTTTGTGTGATGCTGGGAACCAAACCCACAGCCTTGCTACCACTGAGCTGTAGCTCCAGCTCTAACTTTTTTTCTCCTTTTTCTTTCTTTTTCTTAAAAGGCAGGGCTTCATGTAGCTCTGGCGGGCTTGAACTCAGTATACAGGTGAGGATGACTCTAAACTTCTGATTCTCCTGCCTCCACCTCCCAAGTGCTGGGATTATAGGATTACAGGTGTACACTAGTGCCCTGGTTTATCAGAGCTGGGATTGAACTCAGGGAGAGCTTCATCTATGCTAGGCAAGCACTCTACAGACTGAGCTACATCCAGATTCTCCTTACTTTTTAAAAAGAAGAATACAGCAGGGGAAAATCATGAATTGCTTTAAAAGATGCTAGGCTTGTAGCTGGAAAAGATCAGTAAAACGCAGAAGGAGGAAGAGGAGGAGAAGGAGGAGGAAGAAGAGAAAGAGGGGAAGGGGGAAGGAGAAGGGGAGGGGGGAGGAGGGAGAAAGGGAAGAAGGGAGGAAGAAGAAAAAAGATCTAGAGACCAGAGAAGAGGGTGAGAGGGCATCTCAGAATCAGGAGTGTGGAAGAGCTCCAAGCCATCTCGTGGGGTTGGTCTATAGGCTGCCACCTCTGGGTCAGCGGTACTGGAGGTTCCTTCCACTTGTGCTGGCGGCACACTCCTATGAGCACTGGGCACTCACTACTGTCTCAAAATAGTGCTTTCTAAATTTTCTCTTTGGAAAGCTCTTCCCAATACTGGTCTGTTTATGGACACCTGTAACTCAATGGAACACATAATATGCACATCCACTCACAAACACAAGTGTGATCTTGCTCAGGGAGGCAACAGCCCTCCATGAGTTCTCACTCCTGCTCCCACAGACACCTTGGATACTGCAGTCACCCTTCATCAACGCCTCGCCCCTTTGGACATACTCCCATCCCTCGGCCTTTCTCAAAGGCGAGGTCATGTTTTCTGACCCCTGGGCATTTTCTCTCCCTAAAGCAGCTGAGAATGACTTCAGACTTTTTGAGTGGCATGTTACTGTGCTGTTGGTTCATAAAGGAAATAGAGGAGGACAAAGGCTGAAGATTCTAGAAAGCATAGGTACAGAAACTGGGTTCCAAAGAGGCCCACTGCCTCCTGGCTATGCAAGAAAATGTGTAGACTAGTCATAACAAGCAAAGGACAGGAGGGTTGGGGAGGCAGGGTGCAGAGGCCCTTCTGTGAAAGAACAAATAAATCGGTGCTAACCCTGGTGTGCTGAATGGAAGAGCAATCTGTGTAGAGAAATGAGCTATGCAGAGCTACGACCTAGGATTCGAAGGTTGGATTTAAGCAGAATTGAGCTGGTGTGCTCATTCACTGGCTGAGCAGGTCCTGGTTCCAGGCCTCACAGGTGAGAGCCACCCCTGTCAGGGACAGATGAGGCACAGGGAGTTCTGCGGAGGGGGGTAGCAGCATCCCAGAATTTGGCTACATTCACAGATGAATATGTTTAGATTGGCTATGGGGATCTGAGCTATGTCTTTGCAAGTTCTGCACCTATTCTTGTGTGCTCACGGCTCTGGTTAGCAGAAGCCCGATGCCCCCACCGTAAATGGCCATGCCGTGGAGAATGAATGCAGCACCTTCTACAGGCAAAGAAGGTGTTTCCCTGTGGCACTATTGAGGATGCAAGTTCAAAAGAAGCAGAGAGGCACATGAAAAGGAGGAAGAAGGAGAAGCAGGAGAGCACATATAGCAGGTAGAAGATTCTTTAATATGGGGCCTCAGTCCTACCCACTAAGACACCTGGATTCTTTTTCAACAGCTTTCTAATGTCAGAGGACAATTTCCTCCACAAGCCATGTGACACATCAAGCTGTACTGTAGAATGCCAACATAGAAGGAACACCGTACCTTTGAAAGTGGAATGTCGCCGGGATGGGTAACGTTTACTAGGCTTCCTCTCAAAGGTGCTGGTTCTTCGCAACCTGGCACCATGTGTAGCTTGGTATTCCGTCCGCCCACTGGGAAGAAAATATTTGATTGCATGTTATATCAATAACGATCTCAGCATATCACATCTATTTGCAAGTGAACCTTTTTATTTTCAAGAGCTCTAGTGTACATTTCAACTTAGCATGAACTTGCCTGGTAAAGACACACTAAGTAAGGCTTCCATTTGGAAATAAAGTCTCTTTGGCCCAAGCTAGGCTATATTACAGGGGCAGGCATTTCTTTCCACCAAAGGACAAAACCTGCAGTTTAAGTAACAACCACTTGGTTGCATAAACAAAGCAGGTCTGAGTACTTGGAATACTTGACTATGAAAATGTTGATTTCATTCATAGTACAAAGAACCACCTTTCATGGAACACACTGTAGAGATACTTAGCTCATCACTCATCTTTCTTTCTTTTCTTTCTTTCTTTCTTTCTTTCTTTCTTTCTTTCTTTCTTTCTTTCTTTCTTTCTTTCTTTCTTTCTTTCTTTTCTTTTTTTGTTAGGAATGGTCCTTTAACTAAACATCAGCTTCTCTTGCTATGCACCAAGGGAAATGGTTCTTACTTCACCCAGACTTTCCAGATTAGACCACTGTGAAGCCAGCTACAGCTTCCAGGAGGGGCAACTGTTCTTTAATCTACCCGTTACTGCTCCAATCCAGTTGCTACTGGCTTGTGATTTGTCAGACGGTAGGAGCCAATTGCCACCTGTTCCAGATGCCTCCAAGAGATAACCTCATCTTCAAACTCCCCTTTCTTCTGCATTTCTCCTTGAAAAGCAAAGGGCACCAGGTCTGAGCCAATCCTGGGGTATTTCTTCTCAGGAGGGAGAAGTCTGCTTTGGCCCTCTCCTCAGCTGCCCTCCCCTCCAGACTCCAAACGCACAAGGACATCGGCAGACTCTGGAGCAAATCTTCAAATCTCCGAGGTGCTAGCATTTCCGTCCTCCAAGGGCCCTGTGATTTGATTCTTTTTCCCTAATGACTTGTTCTTTCATCCACCCCCCGCTTCCTTGGAGCATTTTAGAAATACATTCAAAGCACGCAAGTAATCCCAGCACTCGGGAGGCAGAGGCAGGCAGATCTCTGTGAGTTCAAAGCCACCCTGGTCTACAAAGTGAGTTCCGGGCCAGCTGGGGCTACGGGGAGACCCTATCTCAAAAAAAAAAAAAAAAAGAGACCGAAAAAAAAGAAATACGTTCAAACAAAATCATTCTTTAAACAGAGATCCTTGCACAGTGGATGAATCTGAAATGAACAACTCTTTTGGCATTTTAAACACAGTTCAGAGACATGGCATATATGGGCAGAGGTTATGAAACCAAGCCAAGTTTTTTATACTGTAACTGAGATTTATATATGTGCCACAAAAATCAAATCTGGGAATGTATTTAAAGCTGACACATGTATGAACATCTACAGACTCTGATTACAGTGGTTTTGAATGAGGCCATATATTTAACAATGTCTAGGGAGTTTTCCTGCACTTGTCTTAGACTCAGGAGCAAAGATATCAGCATAAGCTATTTCTTCAAGCTCTTTTCAGATTCAAATGTTTACTGAGCCAGGCCCGAGACCCCCCCCCACACACAGAGAGAGAGAGAGAGAGGGAGAGAGAGAGAGAGAGAGAGAGAGAGAGAGAGAGAGAGAGAAAGCCAAAAAAAAAGGAGGGAAGGGACAGAGAAAAAGAACAGACTAAGGCCAAATGTTTCTGCACCCCCACTTAAAGGTTGTATGAAAGTTTGAGCCTAGTGCCATCATTTGTGAATGGGGACACTCGATCTACCTTGTTAAGGCTGCCTCTAGCACTAGAGTGGCTACCCTAGGGCAGTCCTGTGTAGCCCTATCCAACAGAAGCTCCTACAACACCACCATATGCTGAGTCTGCCCTGCTCAGCAGGCAGCCACTATCTACACTGTGGCTACCGAGTGCCAGAAGTGTGGCTAGGGAGATCAAAGAACTGTATTTATTTTAAAATATTTTATTTATTATTCTCATTTCTTTATGTGTATGAGTGTATTGCCTGCATGTAGGTAGGTGCACCTGTGTCCCGTAATGCCCACAGAGGTCAAAAGAGGACATTGGATCCCCTGGAATTGGAGTTACAGATAGTTGTTAGCTGCCATGTGGGTGCTGGGAACTGAACCCGGGTCTTCTGCAATCTCTCCAACCCCCAAAGAACTATTTTAAATGTATTAAAAAATGAGTGAATTTAAACAGCTACATGTAGGCAGTTGCCACTGTTCTGGATAACTTAGCTCTATGTCAGAGGCTAACCAAAGTCTGAATAAAATGCAACCCAATCCTAAACTTTTGGGGTCCTAATGCTCAAATATTTCCAATATCAAGTATTAAATATACAAATATCCCCAAACCCAGAAAAACAAAACAAAACAAAACAAAAAAGCTTCAAAATCTCTAACACTTTTGGTAACGAGCACTTCAGATATGTGATCCTCAACCCAATTTAGTTCCATTTTATCAGTGAGGTGATAAAAGCCAGAAAAAAACTACGTGACTGGCCTACAAAGATCAGACCTTAACAAAGAAGTGGGGGTGGGGCGTACACCCCAAATTGTTGGACTCAGACCCACTATGCCAATTACATACAAAAAGCAGCTTTCTCTGAAACACGTGGCCAACATCATACGTAAAGTAGCTGCTCACCTGAACCGGAAGCGGGAGCCCAGCCGGATGAAGTCGGATCTGTTAGACTTGCTGTTGCTGGGTGTGCGCAGTCGGAAGAAGGCATGGTGCTCCACGGCACACTTCCATAGGTGTTTGCAGGTGCGTGCGCTGTCCAGCCGGAACACAAAGGTGTGTTCCTGCTCACGTCCCTAAAGGAGGAAGTGAGGTCCTCATGGAGGCACCATGCCTCGGGGATGCAGGGTGATTAGCAGCAAGAAAGGGACAAGGGAGCAAGACCTACCTGGTCATCATCCTCCACTACCACGAGGGTCAGTTTGCTCTTTTTAAAGTCCATTTTGGTAATCTTAGGCCTGGTTAGAGAGAAAGCATTTTAAAATGCGCAGTCTACAGCAAAACTGTCTATACATTAAACAGCAGTTTCCGTTCTACTTTTTAAAGCTTAGATTGGCTAAGAAAAAAAAAATCATCATTCATTCATTTAAATAGGATTATCCAGAAGTTCAGTGCAATTGCCACGCACCCACAATGACAATAGGGTGGTGTGATTTGTTTTAAAGCAAATCTGGGTGTCGCAAATACCCCTCAAAATCCATCCATCACATAGACTTCCACCACAAAATAGGAAAACATTTTTAATATTAGACAAAACTAAATTACCAAAAGAATAAGCCTATTTTGTTAGCTCCTTCAAAGATTAATATGCCTGTCGGGGTCAGTCCAAGAGAGTATTCACAGCCATCTCTTCCCTACAAACAAACGAAGTGACAGTCGGTAGAGGGTTCTAACAGGGCGTCACAGAGCAGAATGTAAAAACAATTTCCTCACCAAAATTTACTTTGTTGGCACGCTACATCTTTTTCAGAAACAGCAAAACAAAATGACTGAAACTCACACAGTTCTTACCCTGACAACGTGCATGTCTACCCCATACATTTCCAGCCACTTCGCTTTATTCAGATAGGAGAGTTCCGCCTGGGCAGGGCTCTTTCCCCTTTGAAAAACCAATGGAGACACATGTTAACTGGGCTTGCAAACCCACAGAGGTCATGCAGCATTTACAGCAATGAGGGGCGCCAGCTTATAAGGACAGGAAATAACATCCTCCTAATTGAATAGGAAGACCATAGAATAGAGATTATAATGGAAAACAAGACCATGGTTTAAGGCAAAGGGAAAGGCTGTCCTTGTGGCTATCCTCTGGGAGAGAGGCTATGTGTGAGGGAGCAGTGGGGTGGGTGACTATATCTGCACACCTCTGTATCTTTTCATTATTATGTGATGGCAACATATTCATGCTGCCTTATCATTCCTGCAGAGAAACATGGAGGACATAAAGTCAGGCTGCCTTTTGTTGTGATGATCCCACTTCCTGAAACAACACTGTACAGCGCATGATCTCAAAGGTGAGTGTTCTTCCACCACAGGGTTAGAGGCCAAAGAATGCTTGAGATCAGCAGTGTCTGTGGTTCAATTTCTTCTGAACTTTAAACACTTGAACGAAGACAATGAGACTCTGGAGGGTGAGACCCAGCTCTGAACATGAGGGTCATTTATGTTTATTCATGATACATAGAACGTGAAGGTATTTTCAAGCACTATTTTTATTGCTCCTGTGTTTTGACTTCAGCTTATCCCATGAAGTCAGGAGTGGAATAATCAAATGTGTCACCAGGTTGGTGTTCAAAAAATTTCACATTTTAGATTCAGGGTCTTGAGTCTGGGGATGTTCCACCTGTCTTTCTAAAAGGTTTACCCTAGAAGGTTTGGATCAGAGTCCCCAGAAACCCAGGCAGATAGGACCATGTCAGGGCAGTGTCTTCTCATTACCCACAGCTGGGGTGTCACCAGGACAGCATGATACCCCTGGAAACAACAAGGTAATCAGACAGGCGGTGTATTTCAGAGACAGAAAACAGCACGGCTTGATCTCTGCACACTTCTCAGAAGAGAGATGATGAAAACGCCTTTGGAAAACAAATATGAAACACAGGAGGGAGGGGACAGGTGTGACTGTGGCTTTTAGTCATTAACTGAGCAATTCTGCAGGGGACAAGAGTCTGACAAACAGAACAAAATAAATGAGCAGCTCAGAACCCGAGAAAGGTGCATCGAGGTACCTGCACTCTTTCCATCTCTGGAAGATATCGAATTCCATTGCTTCTGACTGATTTGGGATGAACCGAAACTCAGACACAAGCTCTGGTGTGTGTTCCGGAAGCTCGCACTCCCCCAGCTCCGCTGTACAGTTCATAAGAGAAATGGAACGTTCTCGGTTATTGCTGTGACTGAGTCCAAAGGCATTCTGCATGATTAGAAGGCACAGGTGCCCCTGATATATAATGCTCTCCCTTCAGGAGGACTGAGCCCAGAAGCCCTGGGAATCATTTTAACCCCTCCCCATCGAGCAGCACACCATCATCTTAGTTATTACTGTCTTTCTCCTGACTGCTTCTCCCACCTAGGGAGGCCTGGCTCACATTTCCCCAGGAAGTAGGAATTTGTAATAAAAGGCAATTGTAGGCAGTGAGTATCTGCCCAGGAGCATCTTCTGCACAGGGCTCTCATTAAACATAGGTCAGAGCAGCACTTCAAGGTATGCTAACTTTAGTGCTGGGGAGGGTGGATCAAGAATTTGGCACATTCAGAATCCAAGTGAGGGATAAAGGAGCAGGGAGGGAGGGAAGCAGGTGAGCAGGATGCAAGAACAACTTCGGCAAGTCGGGCAGAACAGAGATGGAGAGAAGGAGAGCACTGTGCGGAGAAAGGATAGCAACAGGAAGCCAACCAGCACAACACCCCAAGTGTGCTGCATGGTTTTGCTCTTGCTAAGCTGCAGAATGGAGGGTCTGGGGACACAGTGGGCCTATTCCTCTGGAGAATGAATAAGAAAATCCACTCCCCTCTCTACCCCTGCAGACCTCGGAATGAAAAGGAATCCTCCCGTTTTCTCCAAAACTTGGCTGTTCACTAAGTGTGGTCCTTGGACTAGCAAGTATAGATGCCACTTGGGAGCTTAGTCAACACGGAGACTTGCATGCTCACCGTGGAATAGCCCATGTAGCACCTGCCTTTTCACAAGATGCCCAGGGACTAGTGCACACTTTCCTTGGAAAAGCACTGATCCACAACAGTGGTTTTCAAAACTTGGAAGTACAAAAGAAATCACCTGGTGGGCTCATCAAAACACACACTGCTGGGCCCCACAACCAGATCATTCTGAGCATTGTCTGGACTGAGGCCCAGAATTTGAATATAGCCAAGGATGACCTTCAACTTCTGATCCTCCTGCCTCTAACTCCTGAATATACCATCATATCTGGTTTTATGCAGTGCTGGGAATCGAACCCAGGGCTTTGTGTATGCTGGGCAAGCACTCTACTAACTGACCTATATCCCCAGCCCATGGGATTTGCATTTCTGACAAGTTCTTATGTGATACTGGAATAGGGAGCCTGGGAAACACTTAGAAAACCTGGAACCTGATGTTGCAGACATCAAATCTACCATAGACTCAGTCACATGTACCTAAGAACCTGCAGGGACAGCAGCAGCTCACTATGTACCCAGTGTTCCCTTTCATCAACCCATTGGGCTATGTATGCATGGCCAGCATGGAACGTCTAAGGATACCAAGCAAACAGCCCATCTTTCAGGAGAGGGATGATGGCTTGAAGAGTGGATAAAATGTCCTTGTGGCCAATATGTCCATGTGGCGGCACATGCATGTAAACCCATCAGTGATGTAGGCTATGGCAGGAGGATCTCAAGGTCAAGAGCAGCCTGTGTGAAACAACGTGAGAACCAGTCTCAAAACATAAAACAGTCCCTGTCCATGCAGAGGAAGCAATAAAACCAAACTCAAGGAGATTACACCTGTATAAGTCATCTGACACAGAACAGAGACCTAGCAAATGTCTCCCCAATTGAATGCCACCCTCATACCAAGGCCCAGAGAGGTCTGGGTCAGGGCATGCAGCAGCTTTTTACTCTGGACAAAGGTAAACACATGAAACCCTGTTCTCGAAACTGTCTAACCAGAAAGGTGGTGGGCCTGGGTCCCCCAGGCTAGAGACCACCATTAATTTCAGTCCAAGAGGTCATTGGGCGACTAAATACTGGAAAGTCCTGAGCTTTGTACAGTCTGGAAAGAGATTGTGTGAAATCCACAGTCTAACATGAGGCAGCAGAACAGTCGGGATTAAGTTGCCACAGACACTGGTAAGAAAGGGGACAGGATCTTCTCCTTGTCTTTACTGAATAAAGCAGGCCTGAGTGATGCCTGGGACACCATCCTGCCTTCCACGAACGTGCTGAAAAAATTTGGTACTCCAAGAGTTTCCTACCTCTGAGGCCAGGCCCCAGCTCCAGGGAGGCCATGGAAGGCAGTGCAAAATGTTCAGACGTAAGAGATTGAATCCCAAATCCACTGTCACTTATATATGTGCTTGGGGAAATCACTGAGCTACTCTAGGTATTTACTCTCTACTTGAGAGATGGGAATTGTTACATGGATGAAATGAGACCACAGACATGCAACATCCAACTCTTATTCTCCCTGCTTTCCTTTTTCCCTTTTACTTAAACTAATTTTCAAATCAACCACCAATTTATTCCCTGAAGAACACAGTTTCCGTGGGGGACCACTGTATTTCAACACAGGAGGCATTACTGATTCAAGGAGAACCACATAACATGCCTTCAAGACTCAAGCAGGTACTCAGCCCTTCATTTCATTCACATCCATACATCCAAGCTAGTGACTGGAGCCCAGAGTAAGGGGCCTGGCTGGGCTGAAGACAGCAGGTGAGACCAAGGCTTCCCCAGGCATGTCCTTCAGTCTTCCAAACCCCATCTGTACCTGACATAACAATTGCACTTTAAATTGCACTAATTATATGGCTCCAATTCAAATTAGTACTTGCTCCAAGAAAGGCTCACAGATGGCTGGTTTGATTCTTGTCTATGCTGCTTTTACAGCCATTAGAGCTGTCCTATGGTCTCCATCATCTTGGGGGTAGAGGTGTGCCTCCTCTTCTAATCATTCAAGATAACAGAACAAGCTTGCAACCACTATGCCAACGCCTCAGGAGGAAACCTCTGCAGTGATTAATGGCCCCAGGCTTGACATGGGTGCTTTCCTTTCATTAACACTACCCTGACAGATCCTGTGGGACTGCCAAGCCTGATGGGAGGCCTCTGCAGCTCAGGAACTCCAGTACAGATGAAGGCCACTGTCTGTGCTGGGGAAATCTGCAACTGGTCAATACAAGGTGCCGCTGCCATGTCCCCAGCCCTGTGGCACCCTATGGCACTCATCATGAGACTTGCCGCATCAGACTCTATAGGGATAGGAAGCATGTAGCTCTGTATTTGAGACAGATGGCTGTAGATGACATTATTGTCACCAGTGCCTTTGAACTACCCTTAGGGTCTCTAAATGCATTCCTTCCATTCTTTCTCTGCTTACTGAGCATCTGCTATACGCCAAGCCCCATTAGATAACAGGACTCAGAGGTGACTGAGGAATAGAAGTATTCAGTAATGGGAATATGTCAGTCATTAAAAAACCATTTTTATGAGTATAAATTTGACAACATGCATTTGCTAAAAATAGTAAGCAGGGCTGGTGAGATGGCTCAGTGGGTAGCATTTGCTACCAAGCCTGATGGCCTGAGTTTGAGCCCCAAGACCTACATGGTAGAAGGAGAGAATCATCTCCCTAAAGTTGTCCTCTGACCACCACCCTTTCTCCATGTCTCTTACACACAGGGAACAATAAACAAATGTGAAATTTTTAAAATTCGTAAAATACAATAGTGGAAGCCAAATCTTATGGTATTCAGAAATAGTAGACAGATATAATTAATTATCCAATAAAAACGTGTTTACAGCACGTTGATCTGACGTCTAATGAAATCCTGTATGCATAGTTCCACATTATTGTTCTCTTAATTAGTGCTGGAGACTTTGGCAAATACTTTTTATGTATTTTAAACTAGATCCACCAGTACTTCCCACAGATGAACAACAGTCAATGTGGATGATCCTGCAGGCAGACCTCCTGCCATCCAGTTCCTGCCTGCGCGCTGATGACTTCAGGCCATCCATTCCCCAGGAGCCTGTTTCCCTCTGATCACCTATCCACAGCAGCAGCCTGAGTCATCTCTAGCTCCTCCCTCACACCAAGGTTCATCCCAAAGTCCCACTATGTGCACTGCCACAGATACATTTGACATGTGCATACCCACCTGTCCTGCTCTGTTTCCTATGATCTCTTATTATAGCAACAACTCTACCCCAGCCCAGCCTCAGTATTGGTCCCACTCCAGTCTCTTCTTCTCACACAGGCAGTGTGGCCTTTCCAAAATGTACACAACTGAGGCCTGCCTCCTTAAGGATTACTGCTGACCCCATGAAGTTCATACTCATTCTTCAAATGGAGCCTGAGTCCACCCACCAAGCCAGCTTCTTGAACTTTACAGTGTGACCATTCAGCTACCGTCTCTGTGATTTTATTGGTGGATTTTTAAGACAGGATCTCATGCAGAACAGGCTGGCCTTGAACTTGCTATATAGTAAAGAATGACCTTGAACTTCTGGCCCTCCTGAGTGCTAGGATAATTGGTGTGTACTACCACATAAGGTTTTATGCAGCTCTGGGGAATCAAACTCAACCAACTGAGCTATATCTATTATCAGCCTCTTATTTTAGTACACACACACAGACACACACACACACATACACTTGCAGTATTAGGAATTAAGAATGGAACCAGGCAAACACTACAGCACTGAGCTGCACCTCAGCCACCCGGTACTTCTGTGCCTTCATTCCTTGACTCATCTTCCTCCCCACATCCCCACATGGCCGCCGCCCTCCTTCCTTCTTCCATGCTCCTGTGTGTCTCTGTTGCTAAAAAACTGCCCTATTCTCTGAGTCTGCTTTCCCCAGTGGACTGCAAGTTCCTGCAGATAGAGATCATGTCATATTCATTTACATCCTGGGAGAAAGTAGGGCACTGGGCCTGGCACACAGTAGATACTCATTTATTGAAATGAAAGCAATAACTTTAAAATGCTAATTACTGCTAAAAATGAATGTACCTTGTAGACAGAGAGCAGCTAGTTCCACGGCTGTTTCATAGGGGCACTTCAGTCTTGGAGAAAAAGAAAAAGAAAGGAAATTAACTCTAAATAGGAAGCACTATGCCCAGAGCCAGCAAAGTGTCAGCAAAACCACGTTTTCAAAGGCAGCGATGGCTACACAAGGACTCTGATGCTAATAGTGTATATTTTTTATGTCTATATTAAAGAACACAAATTAACATACACTACAAAGTTCCCAGGGTCAGTTCTCACCATACGACAAAATTATTCAAATATACTTTCATGACCCTGCAGATAATTTCAGTGAATTTTGAAAGAATGGGGAAATTGAGAAAACAGAATGAGAAGCCTTCTTTTTGACTTAGTGTTTAAATGTATTTGCATTTGATTACAGTCCATGTTTCTTTTTCAAGCTGCCTTAAATCTTTCTTGAAACAAGATTAAAAATAAAGACACCTACCATATCTACTATTGCCAGGACAGTTAGTGCACTCAGCATTCTAATGGGTCTAACTGAGGCACAGCACTGGAAGAACATTACTACAAATTCAGTGATCTCATTCATAAATGTCAAACCTCAAAGTTCGTTCGAAAAAGAGCAACAGTGCACATTAGCATAGCACTTTCCAGTTCTCAAAGTCTTTTCATTTTTTCACATATAATATCCCATTTGGTCATTGCACAGACCAAATGAATCTGTAAACTCTTAGAATGGGTGCGGCCAATGTCCTCCCTGCCCTCCACTTCTCATTTTACAGATGAGAAAGTGAGCCTTCAAGCATTTTGCTCAAAGGCATCCAGCTAATACAAGGCAGTGCTGTGTCTAGAATACAGTTTCCGTTTAAAGAAAGCAAGTTCGCTGGAATTGGACCTGAACTGCAAAGTACTATACACACATGAAGTGCTGTATTGATATTTTTCCAAACTGAAGACAATTTCTACAGTTACGAGACCTTTTAGTATGAGGAGCACAGTATGGAGAGAAACAGAACACACTCAGTAGACTCAGCACACACTCAGTACACACACCAACCAAAAATCTGTGTTGCACGGCTGAGTAAGGCCAATGTATACACTGTACAATCTGCGGCTTCTGTTGCCTATCTGCCACTGAAGTTTTTAGAGCACATATCCTATTATGAGTTTGCAAATTCAGAAATAGCATTTTAAATTGCCTTCAGCTTGCATTCAAAATCAGAATGTATTCTTGTTGGTAACATTGGTTATTACTTCTTAGATTCAGTCTAGCCTTAGTAACAGAAAATATTCAATACCTCTTACTGAACAATGATACGAATATAAAAACTGAAATCTCGGGATTTTTACATGTATTTATTATATATATGTGTGGGTATGTGCATGTTCAGGCACACATGAAGGTCAAAGGATGCCTTGTGGGAATTGGTTATTTCCTTCTACCATATGGGTCCTGGGGATCAAACATGGGTCATCAGGCTCAGTGGCAAGCATCTTTATGCACTGAGCCATCTTGCTGGCCCTCTCATTTTTAAAATAAATTAATGCTGCCTTCAAAACTAAACTCTCATGCCAGGCGTGATAGTGTGCACCTTAATCCCAGCCCTCTGGAGGCAGAGGTAGGTGGATCTCTGTGAGATCAAGGCCACCCTGGTTCACATCACGACTTCCGGGAGAGCTGTGTGACTAGGGAGACCCTATAAAAAAAAAACCAAAAAAAAAAACCAAAAAAAAAAAAAACAATGAACAACAAAAACAACAACAAAACCCCCCACAAAAAACAAAACCCAACCCCTCCAGTGATACTGTTTCTTGTACTCAATAATCACCGTAAACTAGAAGTCTAACATTTCAAAAGCGTGCTTAAGAAAGGAAGAGAAATGAGAAGTCTAGAGTTCTTTCTAATAGGACCTGAACAGGAACTTGTCACATTACTTCAATGTAGATGTCAATGAATGAGACCTTTTTGACTGTCCAAATACTTGTACATGTATACATACTAATAACGTGTCTTGCTTGCAAACATGACAAAAGCCAGTATGAATGGGGAAGTGATGTGACCAGGGAGAAAATGATTCCCAAATACACATCACTTAATGCATTGAATGCTCTCAGGAATGCTGAAAGTCATATAGAAGTCATTTAAAAATAGTGATAATGATCATAACAGCCATAAATATGAGACTCACTTTACAATACCTGTTGCACTTTTTTTTTTTAATTTGGAAAAGGGAACAAGGGTAAAAGAGTTAAAATGGTGAATTATTTTCAGGTGTTACTATGCTCTATTCTGGGTCAAGAGTTAGAACAAAAATATACTTACTTTCCAGAAAGAATGTCATGCCTGAGTTGTAAAACAAACAGGTACCTGATAAACATATACAAAAGTCAACAGAGGGTAACTCTGTCCCAGCCGCCTCCAGTGCCCAACCCTCCCATGACAAATCTCCCTGCACGTGCCCTGGCATTCTGCACTGTCAAAAGAGAATCCAAAGTAAATGAGGGAGGGAGGGAGAAAGCATCTCTCCCTAAGCCTGCAGGAAGGTATCCCGGAGCGTCATCACCCAGGTGGTGAATGACGTCAGGAGTTTGCAAGACACTGGTAGGATGGAGCACTAATGGAACACCAAGCAGTCTGATAAGGCTTTAGTGTGGAAAAAGCTAGCCCAACAGGCACACACAACTCAACACACAGGCATGCAACATAACCAAGAAATGGGCATGATGGGTCCATCGGATTTGATGCCCATCAAGCAGATTCCAGAATCTTTTCACAAAGTTTGCAGCTGTCTAGAGAGATCACTAGCAACTGCTTGAGGCTTTTCTTCCTGGAGCAAACTGTCTTTAAAAAACAAAACAGACATGCAAACCATGCAACACACACACACACACACACACAACACACACACACACACACACACACACACACACACACACACATCCTAGAATTAGACTGTAACCAATGAAAGGGATAATTTTTTCAACAAAGGAGGAAAGTACTAATGCTAGCAAGCCTTACTTGGGCAAAAAAAAAAAAAAAAAATTGTCTTGGGGCCTATGTAAAGTTGGTTTTGTTTGTTTTATTTTTACCAGAAAGAAGAAAGATGTGGGCACCAGGACCACTTGTAGTGCTCTGTACCAATCAAAGCTGCCCACACTCTACTCTAGGCCTACAGAGTCAGAATCCTACACGCAAGAGTGGTCCTCAGGAATCTGATTTGTTCAAAAGCTTTCCAAGTGTTTCTGATTCACAGAACTTGGCTTTAAAATGATGAGCTTTGGTGACAGCTCAGAGCAGCGCATTTCATAAGGACCTCCAAAGAGGACACTGAAGCCATTTAATTGTTTGAACTTTGGAAACAATATGGGCAGTTGCTTTCTGTGGAATGGCTGTATAAGACAGTGGGTGACACAGAAATCAAAGGGGTGTGGAGGCTAAAGATTCTACCTCATTCCAGAATGTTCCTGTTTCCTAACAGATCCTTAACCATAACTAAACTTACACTTCTGAAATATAGGATGTTGACTTGTATACTCTGATTAATTGGAATGCCCTGCCCATATGGCCACAGGTTGATTCCTGTAGGAAAACCCAACAGTAGAAGCCCAGAGGTCCTTGTTCTGGAGCACTGGTGATAACTGGTGAATCTTTCAACTGTCACTTAGGTGGTCATCTCCAATCTACTGGCCACCAATGTGGACCACCCATCTGTGTTTATGTACAATCCATTGCAGACACATATAGACACAGACACAGTGAAAAAGTAGACTAGGGAACTCAGGAACAGGAAAAAGCATGTTGTTGATGGAAAGGGACTTGAAGTGAAACTCCCCATTTCAAATGCCATTTAAATTCCTTTTTATCTAGACTGTTTGTGAAATCCAAGATATATACAAACACGGGCACTCACAACATAAAAATATCCAGAGGGGCTGAGAGGTGACATAAAAAGATCTTAACAAAACTTGTGGTAACTGGCACAGTTTGTTTAAAGTGGGGGTTCCTCCTACTGGAACAGCTAAGAGAATGTTTTACAATACCTTTAAAAAAAAAAAGGCAATTCCAGACTAATAAACCGTCCAATATCTGCTTTCATTTTTTTATAGTGGAGACAGATATAAAATGCCATAGATGAACCCATCATTTCTCCCAATGTTCAAAGAAAAAAAAATAGTAACAGGATAAGAAAATACATCCAATTTCTGTTTCCTGAGAAAAACATCAAAGAAAGCAAACTTGTAGACTTCAGCCCAATAGAGAATCCCAGAAGTGGTAATAATTCATGCTTAGAGAGACAGAGGACAGAAAAGAAGCGAACCCATGACCGAGAGAGCCTAGGTTCCAGGTGAGGCACGGGCTACTGGCAGAATTTTCTGTATTATGTCTTACCTTGTAAATTCCTCTCGAAGGTTGTTCGGTTCTGAAGAATAGTATTTAACGCGAAAGTGCAATACATAGGCAGGTCCAACTAAACATTTGGAGACAGAAGAATGAAGATGTTTCCCCCCAAGTTTGAAGATCACAAAGAGGACAAAAGGAACCACATGACAACCATGGCAGGATTATCTGCTCTATCTGGAGGGGCCAACCTGCCAAGCTAGGACATTCTATTTGAGTCTTGTTTGAAAACTGGAATGAAATTTTAGGCTGACTGAGATGGTTTCACTGAGAACTTCATTTTGGAAAATCTTAAGGATCTAAGTAGATTACTGAGAGCTGATAGCTGACTTTTATCTGTGATGCTGAGATTATTCCAAACTGAAACCTATGCTTTACAAAGTGGGCAGAAGGCAAGAAATGCATAAATAGCAGTGTTCTGCCATCTGAAAACACAGTCAAAATGTCTTGAAGTATTTTTAAGAGACTCTAATATTCAAATGACCTAAGCATAAACAATATTAGAGAAATATAGTCAGTACAGCTGTAAAGGGCTGGGGCCTTGCTGCGTCCCACTCTCCATCCTGAATCCACTTAGAAACGGATTTGGGAGTGGAGTGGGTGTCAGGTTTCTGAACAGAACATTAGTCAGCTCTCACTGGCAGACATGTCTGATTTCAAATGAGAGCACAGGTGGGCTTTTCTTATCCTCCCCAAAACTCTCATTCAACTTTTAAGCTTTACTCTTTGGCCAGCTTTAAGAAAGTAAAAAATCATCTTCTTAAAATTAGATCTATTTACAAATAAGAAGAGCTCAAAAATCTTGACAAAGGGGTTTAAAACAACACAGGAGCAGGTTGAATTCTGTTGACTTACCTTTCATCTGTTTTTTTATGGGTTTGGAATGATCCAGCCAGTGCTGAAAGAAAGAAAATGTTTCTTTAGGAGTAGTGTGTCAGTGAGATTGCATGCTCTTGGAGTTCCCCTCATCTACAAACCTTGATAATTCTGTATACGAACCAGAGGCTGGGTCAGATTGAGTTCTCACCAGAGACCAGGAAATTGCTAGGTATGGTATTAAAATTCCTTGGCTTGGGCTAGGAAGATGGCTCAGTCTGCGACGGACCAGCCCAGACCGGGGCAGTTCAGTCCGACGGGAACAGGGTCGTCGAGAGGGTGGACAAGGAGTCGGCGAGTGACAAATAGACACACATGAGCTTGGTGAAAGTCTGAGGGCAATTTTTGCAGTTGCAAGGTTTGAGATATATACAGCAAAGATCACAAAAACCGCAGAACAGCCATGCTAAGATTTACAGTTCCAGAGATGAAAGTAAAACAATTTTGCCAACACATTTCCCTATCTTATCAACCTGGTACTAGACAGTAAATTCCTGCTTTACTGTGGTTTTTACTGCCAGCCTTTCTCACACACTTAGGATTCTGCTCGGCTTTGTAGTCCCAAGTCAGAATGACCTTAAACCATTAAGCATGTTCAACACGAGCTGTGCCTGATATTACTTTTTTAATTGTTTGAAAATATTCCTTGCTTATTTGTAGTGGGCCATAGGGCTTCTAAGTTATTTTTAACTCTATAGGTCCCAAAAAGGCTATCCCATGTTAGGGATCCATGAAACCATCCTTCTCTCTTATCCTACCAATTTTCAAATACTTTCTATATTTGCCCTTTAATGCTCTCTTTTGATTGTTTATCAAAAGACACCAAGGTGGTCTTGATCTTACCAATTTATCCATAAGTTGTAATGAATACCCAGAAACCCTTCTTCTATCTATGTCTCTCTTCTAGAAATCCGTTATTCCCTAGACTCTCCACCACTAATTCTATTTAACTACTTCTTGCTGCATCTAAAATAACTTTTATTAATAGTGGGTGCATCTGGACTAGGATGATTAAAGGATTTTCAATAAAGGCGGTGATAGCGGTGCCAAGGACACCAGGTGCTTTCCGGGCCCCCAGAAAGCCCAAGATACAGTGACAGAAAGAAAATAGCAAGTAAAAGCATGCCAAGTACACCGCATGTTTTTTAGCACAGCCAATTCCAAGAGGCAACCTTCCTTGAAGTTCCAGCCTCAACCCACCGAGGATCTCACGTGGGCTTCATTGGAGATGGCGTGGCATCAGTCTTTAAAGTGCACTGCCATATAAGCATCAGTACTAGAGTTCAGATCCCCAAACCCACTTAAATGCTGGGTGGGTACAGCAGCTGCCTCTAATTCTAGCCTCAGGTGGAAGAAATGGGATCCCCAAAGCAAGATGCCTGGCGAGACCTTATCAGTGAGCTTTAGGCTTGACTGAGAAACCCTGCCTCAATGAATAGGTGGGAAAATAATAGAGGAAGATTCCCAACCTCAACCTAAGGCCTCCATATGTATATGCACACCCAAACACACGTAAACATTCATACACACATATGTACCACACATACAAATGGAAAGCTTAAAATAAATCTTTGTTTTGTTTTTTATTTTTGTTGTTTCTTGGTTTTTTAAAGACAGGTTCTCACAATGTAGCCCTGGCTGGTCCCAACTGCTATGATGACCAGGCTGGCCTCAAACTCGGAGATCTGCCTGTCTCTGCCTGCCTCTGCCTCCTAAGTGCTGGGATTAAAGGTGCATACCACCACACCCAGCCAATAAATGTGTTTTTCTTGGTTATGCATGTAAGTACATTTTTGTTAGGGCTACGATTTCCCTAAGCTTTTTAAAGAAGTGTCCGTAAAAGCTTAAAACTCCTAGATAATTGGTGCTGGAAAGATGGTTCAGCAGTTAAGAACACTGGTTGTTCCTGCAGAAGACCCGGGTTTTGAATCCCAGCACCCACATGTCAGCTAACAACTGTCCATAACTGCAGTCCCAGGGGATCCAACAGCCTTTCTGACCTCTACAGGAATTGTACAACACGGGTGCACTTACCTACATGCAGGCAATACATGCATACACATAAAATAAAAAAATAAAATAAAATAAAATAAACTCTTAGATTATTGATCTGTAAAATTCCTTTTAAACTTCTAAGTTAGTCACGTTACAATTGATCTTGCCCAGTAACTCCAGGTCTCCACTAGCCCAGCAAAAAGCACAAGCCCCTACGCTGATGATCTCTCACCATGAATCTCATCTTGTGGTTCTGACACTCTAAACTTTGGAATCGTAAAACTAAAATTCCCGGGCCGTACCCCTTCATTCTTTTGCCAAGAAAAGGACCCTCTCCAACCACACACAAGGAAGGATAGACAGGCAGATGGTTCAGCTGTAGACAGTAAGAGAACATTTCAACTGTTTCTCCTGTTTACTAGAAGAGCTACTTCAGCCTTATCTGTCTAAGGAGATTACAAAACCATTTCCCTCATATAAACATTTATGTCAAAGTTGTTGCCAACACAGTCCTAAGGATGCTTAGCAGCCTAACCTCTATGGAAAGCTACACTTAGGAGCATCCAGATAAAACAACTGTAAACTGAAAATGTCTCCAACTGAAAACACCTGCCTATCCTGGCTTTGCTACACGGGACACCATGGAACCTAAGTTATCTACTCTGTGATCTCGTGAGGTTGCACCTGAAATCTCAAGCAAGAACTGTACCAAGTATCACCAGCCCAGAAAAAGTCAAATCTCAAAATCTGAAGTTTGGTTTCTACTGAACGAGTTTCACTTTAGCAACATCACAAAGTTGAATCATCTAAGTTAGGCGTTATCTGTACCTTAAAGTTCTTAAACTTCTGGTGGCCAGGAACCAAGTACTTAATCATTTTTATGCTTCCTGTAACAGGCAAAAGGTGTGCTGATACTCAGCAAGCCCTTTTTAGATTGAGAAATATTATGATTTTTTTCTTTCTTTTTTTGTGGGGGGGGTCTTTTTGAGGCAGGGTCTCCTAGTAGCCCCAGCTGGCCTGGAACTTGTAGAGATTGGCCTGTGTCTGCCTCCAGAGTGCTGGGATTAAAGGCGTGTGCCACCACACCCAGCAATTTTTTTTTTTTAAGAAAAAGAGTCATTGGGCACATTCACCAACTCTTAAGTAAATCTGACGTACACTGGAACTTAACTGCCAGAAAACGAGTTGGAATGACACAGGCAAATTCTCTCCAGCTATTCTGAACCATAGGCCAATTCTGCTGACTGCTAGGGACTTTCAGAAGCAATCTACCCTGTATGCATGCTAATAATGAGAAAGGGTGGGGTTGAATGAGTACAGTGTACTCCATACCTAACCACAAAGCCCAGGAGGATTGAGTGGGAGAAGGGGGATGAGGAAACACAAAAAGCACATAACATGAATTAGAATACAATAAGCACTAGAGCAGCAGAGAGGCTAGGTAATAAAAGCAGCAGCTCACCACAGCAGGATGCCTATCTCAAAGGCCTGGACAGGATTCGGAGTCTCATTGTTAATAGCTTTGAATTGGAAATGACCTAAATGTCCATCAACAAAGACAGATTCAAATATGGCTCATCTGTATAATGAAATCCTATTTAAAAAGGATGTAGGGTGATAGTTATTGATGTAGCAAGAGATCCACAGTACAGTGTTAAGACAGAAAAAAAATCAGGTAAGATCTCATTTATATAAAATTATTATTTTCTATCAACATATGTCCAGAAAGATTTGTAGAAGTTATTTTTAGGACAGTAGAACTGCGAATGTCATTTCTTTTTACTTTCTAAGTTTTTTTAAGTGAAATTATTTGTGGAGAGGCTGGGCCTCTAACACCCTATGTAGCTGAGGATGACCCTGAACTTTAGATCCTCTTGCTTTCCTACTGAGTGCTGGGATTACTGGTGTGCACTGCCATACCAGGGCTATGAGTACTGGGGATCCAACCCAGAGCTTTGTGCATGGCAGGTAAACATTCCATCAACTGAGCTACATCCTCAGCCCATTACTAAGCAGTTTTGATTATGAGTTTGAACATGAATTAGATGTCACCATTGCTCTTACCATGCTGAAAACTCCCAATCTTATCCCTGGAAGGACAGACACACAGTGGATAGAAGCATATTTATATTCTTGCCAAGTACCATGCTAATGGCTGTTGACTAAACCTATTCTTAAATGAATTTACCATTCTTGAACAGAAAGTTCTCCCTGCAGCCAGCCTTCAAGTCTAAGCAGCTCCAGACACAGGTTAAAGGAGCCCGCTTCCCCTTTCTTTCCTTTCTCAAGTCTCCTTACCTTTTTTTTTTTTTTGAGTAGACTGAAGTTAAGCCCTCCTTTCTTCTCCCTCAACTGCCAAACTCCCATCTCCGCCCAAGCCCAACTTATGTAGTTTCCTTGGCCTAGGTTTTCAACCCCAGGTATGCATTATAATGCTTGAAGAACTGAATTAAAGAAGTTAATGCCCAGGACTTACCCAAGACCCATTTCAGACTATCAGTTTCAAACATGCTCCTAGAATGCCCACTCAATATTTAGTATTTAGTCTTCTGTATCCTTTTCTACCCAAGAAGATGCCCTGTGGATCTTAAAATGTCCACAGGTCTATGTGAGTTCCATAAAATCTCAAGCAATTCTAGGGTTTATGAAGCAGTACAAGAGGTGAAATGGCCAAATGTCCATAGCTGGGGTTAACAACATGAGCAGACCATGGCCAGATGCTCCAATGGGCAGCAGCCTGCTCTGCCCTGGAGCCACACTGCTAAGGGAGCTCCCTCCTCTACGTCCACGCTGGGTTCCATTCTCCTTGCCTAAAGCAGGGCTTGTCAAGATGTAGCCCCATGACATATCTGGGGTTTGCAAAGCTGAGAAAGGAGTCAGAAATGGCTTAATTATTCTGAAAGCTCCTTGATCCATGGGGGTTTAGCGGCTCCATCAGAGACGATAAGAAACCTAGTCACAATCCTAAAACCAGAGATGGTAAAACTTATCTTGTATCCAACCAGCCTCAAATGACCTGGCAGGTTC